AGCCCGACCCGAACCCGAACAATGATTGACATTTTTAGACCCGACCCGACCCGAAATTTGGGTTGGGCGGCCCGATCTTACCTATAGTGTACATGTAGGACTAATTGAGACGCGGTGTCTATCAGGTATGAAATGATTCGGGGTCCACCCTCTTTGCTCGACAAAAACCGAAACAAAGTGCTAGTTTGTTGGGGTGAGGATCTCAATGGCAACTAACTAACAATTTAAGGTGAGGTGTTTATTTTTAAGTAGGTGACTATGGCATGCCTAACCAGGACGAAGTGAGACGCAGCATTTAATAGGTCTGAAACCAAGGCAGCATCACAATGAGTGGGTGATATCATCTCCACCTTTTGATTTGCTAAAAAGCAACAGCGTCACCAAGCCAGGACACAGCAACCATTAGCAGGGAGGCGAGTACTTAAAGAAATGTACGAAAATCGCTCAGTTTCCTTCTCCGACCGTAATATTCTCCCTCACTGTAATATTTTGCCACATATTATACCTTAAAAAAAACAACAGTTATTGCTTGGTGAAGAATTTGTTTTCTAAAGTTTACAAGTGGCGTCAACAAAAGCGGAGTGCATTGTTTGAGGAACTGCGCGAAATGGCACTGCTTCATACGACAACTACTAGTATCCAGCCCTCTTGTGTAGCTAAAAAGCAAAACAAAATATTCGCGACTCGGGGTGTGGCAGTTATTTTCTTGTTTGACAGGTAACAGCAACGCGCCCAGTTTGGACTATTTACGATATGACCTGCGTTTAAAAGGAGACCACTACTCGAATAAAACAATATTAGTTAAAAGGGCAAGTTTTTTTTTTTTTTTTAAGTCGATGACATACCTGGTTGAAAGCCCGGACCAATTGAGACATGGTGTACATTTGATTGTGGGCCATTATTTTGAGGGAATGTGGTTTAGAGTTGTATTTCAAGTTAGACTTTTTTTAACTTAGAGTTCTAAATGCCTCCCTCCGAAAAAGCTTTGCAGAAATACATTATCTTAGGTCGGTCATACATTTAGAGTTCATTATCAGCAGTCATTTACACATAGGGGGGCTACGTGAAAATGTCAATAATTGTGTGTCTGTATTTACTTAACCATTTTGCGAGCATCGCCACCGGTAGTAATTGTCAGCGTTTTTTTCCTCCCTTCCCCATCCTTATGCAAATATGTCCCATTGTTCTGGCGTAGATAAGGACGGCAAAGCCTTCCACCCGACCTACGAGGAGAAGCTGCGGCTGGTGGCGCTGCACAAACAGGTGCTGCTGGGCCCTTACAACCCCGACGCGTCCCCTGAGGTGGGCTTTTTTGATGTGCTGGGCAACGACCGCAGGTAACGACCATATGCGCAGTTGCGCATGCACGTGCCGCTTTTCAACCCTTGTTGCACATGCCAAATGCTTATCTGGTTTGTTTTGTCTGCTTGGACTTTTAACACTGAATTCAAATTATTTTCCTCATTTGAAAATGTGAAACAAAGAAAATGTAAAGATGAACCAAAAAAGGGTAAAGATTCCTCTTATCCGGGTGGCTATGAGTTATAATAAAAGTAATTTTACCTTGTTTTCTGCTTATTTGAGTGGTATTCACCATTTAAGACAAGAATTCAACCATTACATGTTACTATGTGAGGATATACAGTGTTAAGTTTTATTTTTCAGACAGCCCCACCCCCCAGCCCCATCTTATAAAACTATCCTTCAAAAACATGTTTTTGCTGTTTACATGCAGAAAGGAGTGGGCCTCCCTGGGTAACATGGAGAAGGAGGAGGCCATGGTGGAGTTTGTGCGGCTGCTCAACAAGTGTTGTAACCTCTTTGCGCCATACGCCACGTCACACAAGATAGAGAGGGAGGAGCAAGACAGAAAAAGGTACGTTTTTGAACGTATGTTACACACAACCCATTTTTAACATTTTGCAAGGGCCTCCAAACATCCATCCATCCATTTTCCGATCCGTTTTATCCTCACAAGGGTCGCGGGGGTGCTGGAGCCTATCCCAGCCGTCTTCGGGCAGTAGGCGGGGGGACACCCTGAACCGGTTGCCAGCCAATCGCAGGGCACACAGAGACGAACAACCATCTGCACTCACACTTACACCAAGGGACAATTTAGAGTGTTCAATCAGCTTGCCATACATGTGTTTGGAATGTGGGAGGAAACCAGAGTACCCGGAGAAAACCCACGCAAGCACGTGGAGAACATGAAAACATACATGTAGCCACGGGACATCTTGAATGCCCGAAAATACATAGAAGAAAGAATAGTAGTGGAAGCGGAAATATTAGAACAGAGGCAAACTTATTTGCGAGATACTCACAGTTGCAAAGTCTTCTCATAGCCTTGTCCAAACGATATGCAAGGATTTGTTTACGAGTGGAAAGCGCCTGCGATGTCATCTTGTAAATGTCTATTGGGAATTTCTATCTCACCGTCTTTCCACAATCGATACTAATGTTCGTTTTCCTTTCAGGAGAGAGGAAGAGGAGCGTCAGCGGCGGGAGGAGGAGGAGCGGGAGCGGCAGAGGCAGGAGGAAGAGAGACGCAGGCTGGAGGAGGAAGAGAGGCAGCGGCGGGAGGAAGAGGAACGGAGACAGGCGGAGGAAGAGAGGCTACGGGTGGAGCAGCAGAAGTATGCGCAGGCCTCACCAACAATAGTGACAAACTTCCGTCTCCTTCAATTTCCGAAACGCATCCGCGCCTTCCGCTTCGCAGGCAGCAGATCATGGCCGCCCTGAACGCCCAGACGGCGGTGCAGTTCCAGCAGTATGCTGCCCAGCAGTACCCCAACAGCCCCGAACAGCAGATGGGCCTCATCCGGCAGCTCCAGGAGCAGCACTACCAGCAGTACATGCAGCAGCTCTACCAGGTCCAACTGGCCCAGCAGCAGGTCGGCACCATTCACTGACATCCATCCATCCATCCATCCATCCATCTTCAGGAGTGCTTGTCTGCATTCGGGTCACGGTGACCCTTGCTTATTTTGGGCAAGAGGTGTCGTACAGCTAAAACTGGCCACCAATCAGTTGCTGAGCACACGTAGACCAACAGACATTCACACTGGACATTATAGAGTCTTCGGGAGGGGTCACCAACTGTGGTCCTTGAGGTCATCTAACCTGCATGTTGTAGATGTTTTCCTCCTCCAACACACTTGAATCAAATGAGGATCGATATCAGACTTCTGAAGAGCTTGCTGACATGAAGCTCCTCCCTCAACTTCAGCATACTTCATTGTTAAGATGCCACAAGATGGCAGCAAAGCATGACTTTTTTTTTCTAAATGAAGCTACTTAAGTCAATTTTAGATAGTTCCTTGGGATCGAGTTGGCAACAAAGCGTGACTCACTTCAACATAGTTCCTTTGCGCCAAGCGGACTCATGATGGGAGAAACAATGTTTAACAGTTCGCGTCTTTACTGCAAGAATGGGCCAAATGGGACGTCATAAACTGATGATGTCTTTGTATTATACGAACAATATGATCTTGTTTGTTTTTAATATAAGAATATTTTCTTGCTTGGCAGCATGGTGATAAAGTGGTTAGCACATCTGCCTCACGTTTCTGATTTTGGGTCCCGGAATCTCAAAAATGAATGGATGTATTCAAGCAACCTTGATTGGTTAAAATCTCTTAAGAGTGTTGTCTAGCAGCATGTTAGGTAATCTGCTTTTCTCTAATCGCAGGCGGCCTTGCAGAAGCAGCAGCAGCAACAGCACGCCGACTCCATGGCGCATGGCCACCAGGAAGCCGACGGTTGTTGCAGTGGCGAGCACCCGGCCGGCTTGCCAGCGGGACCCTTGTATGGGGCGGCGGCTCTGCCGGCTTCGGGCCAGAACATGCCCACCGTCAATGGCGGCGACACTTACCTGGACAACACGGTGCGGGCGCTTGAGCCCGAGTCGGCGGAGGAGGTGTCAGAGAACGGGCCGCTATTTGGTGAGTTGGCATAACGTTGCGGTGCCCCCAAAAGGAAACTTTTTTTTTTTCGTCCTTAGTTATTTTAATGCATAATGCAAACGTTTTTCTTTCTCTTTTTTTCCAAAATTATTTTCAAATGATGGCTCAGTGGTAGAGTGGTCGTTTCCCAACCCAGAGGTTGGTGGTTCGATCCCCGGCCATTGCGACCATGTCGAAGTGTCCTTGAGCAAGATACTAAAGCCCCGGTTGCTCCTGATGCTGCGTCATCCGTAGGTGAATGGGGTATCAGTGTAAAGCGCTTTGTGTACCCAAAGTAGAAAAGCGCTATGTCAGTGACATTGACCAATTTCCTAATATTTAATGATTTTTCTTCCTTTAATAATTTGATTTTTTGGGTCTGAATTTTTGTCCTAATATATAAATACTCTCATATAAAACAATGGAATGGAAAAACAGTAAATAAGGCTGTAACTGAACGCGTCTTCTTATACCACGTGACCGAATATTATAATGCCACTGCGCACACTACTTTGCATATCGTTCCAAAGTATGTCGGTCGCGACATACGGTACGGGAAAGTAGTAATTGCTGACTGAGTATCCAGACCGTTTTCTGTCACACTAACTTCTATTTCAGGTTCTATCACAAAAGCCTCCATGAAACCTGTCATAGTAAAGATAGTTCTTGTTCTTTAAAAAAAAAAAAAAAAAAAAAACAGCAGCCGACTCTCCACCCGTTATCGCCGCTCCCTCCATGTGGACGCGGCCACAAATCAAAGACTTCAAAGAGAAGATCCGTCAGGACGCCGACAGCGTGATCACGGTCGGGCGCGGCGAGGTCGTGACAGTGCGCGTGCCCACGCACGAAGAGGGCTCCTACCTCTTCTGGGAGTTCGCCACGGACTATTACGACATCGGCTTCGGGGTCTTCTTCGAGTGGACGGATGCGGCGTCCTCCTCGGTCAGCGTGCACGTGTCTGAGTCGAGTGACGAGGATGACGACGACGAAGGTGAGGGAGGGCGAGCCCGGTAAAAGTCATTCAAATTTACCGTCACACAAACTTCGAGTTAATTTCCAGCAGCGTGCCACGATATTTGTTGAAAAGTTCTACTTATTTCTGTGCCCGCAGGTGAGCCGGCCAGCGAGGAGGAGAAGGCCAAGAAGGAGGCGAGCAAGCCTCAGGTGGACGAGATAGTGCCGGTGTACCGGCGGGACTGTCATGAGGAGGTATACGCCGGAAGCCACCAGTACCCCGGCCGCGGCGTCTACCTGCTCAAGTTCGACAACTCTTACTCACTGTGGCGCTCCAAGAGTGTTTACTACAGAGTCTACTACACCAGATAAGCCTGAAGACAAACCTGGGGGGTGGGGGTTGGGGGGGGGCACACACACACACACACACACACACGTAAATATATGAGTTTGTGTGTCATGGGAGGGAGACGATCTATTCTGAAACCACCACCAGGGGGAGACAAATGAACACACCCGGAGCCCTCTTGTGTTTTCTGTTCAGTGAGGGGACCAATGAATGAGATTAGGCCAAACAAAAAAGATAGAAATAAAATAAAGTGTGTTTCCGGTAACATGAAATTCCAGCATAGGGTCGGTAGGTCGGACAAGTTTTTTTTTTTTTTTTTTTCCCCATCAAAAATTTAAACAAAATAATCATAAAACATAAAACAAGGTCGCGGAACGCCGACGGGCGCCTGACCGGGGGTCGGGGAGACGGGCGGGACTGGGAGCGGCCGGCCGCGCGACGCGCACCGACCGACCCCGCACCCGACACCGTCCCCTACCCCCGCGACGCCCGCAACGCCCCCGTGGCCACCGCCGCCACCTATTTAGTTTTCTCCTCGCTCCGGACTCCGCTGTCCTCCTCCGCCGTCGGTTTTTACTCGGCCCGTGGTGTTCATCAAATAGTTCGCTGAATTTTTTCGATACAGCAATGGATGCTATTTTCTTAACATTACGGTGCGAGCATGCGACTAACACAGAAAACGCTGTTTAAACTGTCGTCGGAGATCGCGGCCGCCGCCATGATTTAATGTTGTTGACAGACGACAGGCAAACGACGCACGCGCTCAACATGAATATCGTGAGTTTGCACCGATGTAAACCCTCTACACAAAAATGTAGAGGGTTATTTGAAAAAAATGCCGACCCGAAAACTTTTTTTCGACGTAGAAATTCTCGGTCGGTCGGGTTACCGGAAACACACTACTTTTTTTCTCCGCCTTATTTGTGTCCCCACATGGAAGACAAGTTTCTATTCCTATCAGCCACATATTTCCAAAAAGGTGGGATACACTTGCTGTTCAACATTTTTTTTTTGTCTACTTGTTACAATTTATGAAGAAGCACCTAGTAGTCCACTGCAGTCTCCACAAATGGCCTCCAGAATATCGCTGAGTATATAACACGGGATTCAAATTAATCTTCCAAGTACAAGTGAATGCAGAACGTTTATTATTTTAGTGACCGCTTTAATTTTTTTTCAATTCTAACACACGTCATTGTTTTTCTTCCAAAGCGTCATCTTTTTCTTTTTTTGGTGGAATTTTGTTCTCCCTTGTCCCAAGTTTGTCGTTTTTCACAAGTTGACTCGCTTACGCCTTTGTAATGTAAATAATTCTATAAATAAGTTTATGTAAAGGAGGGTTTTTAGACAAGGTCTGAGGTTTCTGAAAATTCAGTGCACTGTTGGAAGTAGAGCGAATAAGATACACCTTATACATTTTACCCCACCTGAATGAACGTTTAAAATGGGAAAAAAATAAAGGTATATATCTCTTGATGACTGATGACATGGCAGAAATGGGAGGCATTTTTTTGTTTTTGTATTGTTTGGGTCTCTATGAGTTGGAAAAATCTTTTTGGGCATATATTTAATCTTGATTAAAATTATGTTCATCTCTTGGCTCATCTCTGTTTTTTGCCCCTCATTTGTATCTCTTTAATAGTCATCTTAAAAAATTTTAAACGAGGAACAGTTTCAGCAGAAAACTTGAATGCAGTTTTTTTGGGAATGGATCACCTTGGAGAACGGTAATACAAGAGCACCCGGTGTTTTGTGTGTATATGAGCACTATTAAGTCTCATTTCTACCCTTTTAGGTTACTGTGTGCACACCAGAGATAGTCACACACTCGAGTAGAAAAGCAACTTTCATTTGTAGCCTTGACTATTAAAAAAAACCCAAAACAGCCATTTGTTTTGAGCAATTGTAGGAATTGCAGGTGGCGTAATGGATGAGCACGAGTAAGCTGGGAGGAGAGATAAATCACAACTCCCAAGTGTTTTAGAGAATGTGGAGGAGTTATTTTTAAAAAGAAGGTATGAGCAAACGACAACGTTTATCTTTGTTGTTGTGAATGCTCTTCAGTAACTCGAGCGGGAAAGCTAACCAGCAGGTGCTAAGAAGGTACCGTTTGATTGACTGCTTCTTTATCAGCACGTCGAAACCTTCATTTATCATTCTTAATAGTAGTTCAATGTTAAATGTCCAACAACATCTCGCAGTCTCCAAAAGTTCAACTGCTTAGTCTAATTATGCGTGACGTTTCATGTCTTTCATCTATCACCTCTAACGTTTCAGTTTAGGTTTAGCCTGCTGCTAACTGGACGCACTTCACAAGACAACGTGACACAGCCAGGTATGTATTAAATTGTCTTTATGGAGGATATAAAGTCGCTACAAATATACTAGTTTAAAAAAAAATCAGTTACAGGTGTAGGTTTTGATTCACAGCGTTTTGAATTTAAAGGATTTTACTGAAAGGTGAAATAGCTTCAAATTGTGTTTTTGACTCGAAATGCTCTTAAAAATCAGCGCTTTTACACTTAAACGCGCATTGTTTCACTCGATTATTGGCTACTTTTTATCTATAAACGACGTTTTTAGTGTAAACTATTCGTGTTTCGTGCTCCTTCCACACAATGACTCCGCTAACTTTTTTTTTCGTTCATTAGTTTCATGATATTCCTTTATAAAACATTTTAATCGCACAAATTCATTCCTGCTATTGCTATTTGAGTCCCATTACAAACGTTAATACATATAATTCTGTTTTCCCCACATAGGTTTTCTTGAATTACTACATCTAGCTAGTTTTTCTTGTATTGTGCATGGGCATGAAACTAACTTTTCTGTGGATTTATTTGTGTGCGTGTGTGAGGAAAAATATCACATTTTGCATGGGTAACGAAGGACTCACTGGTAATATAGTTTAAGACCTTATGTCAGGCAGAAGTACTGATTGTGAAGACTTAGGGCAGATGAGCTTGCCATGGTAACACATCGAGGCTAAAGAAGCAGTGCAGCCAAGAGAAATGCTGCAAATAAAAAAGAATTGACTCAAAAATGGACACAATGTAATGCAACATGTATCAAAATTTAGGTTACAACTGTAGGTCAACTCAATCTGAGAGCGTTTAGGCCAGCACAGGTGCCAGTTCTGGTTTTCCCAACATCCTTTATTGCTCTTTGCTGGCAGGTAAAACTTTGCTTTTGTTTGACTCCGGTTCCAGCGTCCAACAGGTGGTTGGTAGTTTCTCCGGGTTTTTCTTTTCCCCCCCTTTCTCTTACTTTCCCTGTGTGTGCGTGTGTTTTTCTCCCTTCTGCCAGCAGCCTGTCCTCCACACGGCGTGTATTTGAATTTGAATAGACCAGTCCAGCTGCACGAACATGGCGGGATTGGAGGATTACGTTCAAATAGCGAGCGCCATATCGCGGATTGCGCCTTTGTAGTCTTTATAAAGAAAAACAACATACTTTCAAAAAGTGCGCTGGGAGAACCTTGACGATGCCTTTCCACCAGAGGACCGTCGAGCCGCAGCGCGTGAGCAGGTTGCCGGCCCGGGGCAAAGCGAGGAAAGCGGCGCCGTTCACGTCTCTGGGCGAGGTCGACTGTCACACGCTCACCAACATCATCCACCAACTGGCCGACCTCTCGCGCCTGGCCGCCGACGTCTTCCTGGGCATCGAGTTGGAGGCGGCCTCCGTATCCCGCAGGTCGTGCCGGGTCCAAGGACGCCTGCGCGCAATGCACGCCCGAGTCAGCCTCCTGCAGGCCAAGAAAGTCCGAGTCCGTAAGTTTTGGCAAGTCCTGGAAACATGTCATGTGCACTGTAAGACAATCACGTAGTGACTGACTGTGATTAAATGAAAGAAAAGAGAAAAATATACTAAAGTTATCAATAGAAATGCATTGCTGTGAACTATACACGATACACAAACGATACCAATCATGCTCACAACACTGCACACTTATGTAATGCTCGCTTCCAACTCTTTTAGACCAAAAAAAAAAAAAATCTGGAGAATGCAGTTTTACTTTTCAACTCCCAAACATGCTACAATATTGACATAAGTCAAACCCCGAAAGACGGTTTAATGCTTTTTAGACTGTTAAAAATGGAAATTTAATTTCCCAAATTTAAAAGAACACGTGCTGCCGAAACGTCGAAATAAATCAGTCAGTAACTTGCTGCTTTCTTTACTGAGCAAACTACAATCACCGCACTTAGATTTTGAGTCCAGCAAACGTGTGAAGTGCACGACATTGTGTTTTACACTTTAAAAAAACAACACTTAAATGTAAAATTCTACATTTTAGGCTTCACCTTCCAAACTGCGAAAAGTTGACATACAACAAGTCAAAATTTGTAAGTTGTTGCTTTATACTGCACAACTACGTTCACATACATGTATTCGGACCCACTACCAGTTACCAGACCCATATGTTGGTAACCCGTGCGTTGGAGAATCATCCTTCTTTCCTGTCATTCTCACTTTGTGCAGAGTGAGGAGAAACTGAGGCCGTTGCGGAAGTTTCAATGAACCACATTCCAACTTGTGTGCCTGCTACGGTTTCCCCTCTGCAAAACATTTACACTGTACAAAGATCACAATGCTCCGTTTTGAATGACATGGTCAGGGAGGTATTAATGTCACAAAGTTTATTATTGCAGGAGTATAGAACTGCAAGAGCTCAGCGTTTGCAATGTCGATTTTCCCATAGCTAATAATAATAGTCTGTCGGCTTCTTAAAGCCTTTATTAACTGTACGGACCTGTTCTTAAAGTCATATTTTAACATTCTTACCAGTAGCTGTCATACAAAACAAGTCAACCTTTCTTATAGAGCCCCATAACAAACAACTGCAAATGCAAACAACGTGCCGTACATAAATAAAAACAAAACATAAAACTCAATAATAAAAAACAATGGAGACAATCAATGGAAATATTCATGTATAGCGTAAATTAGTTACAGACGACACAAATCCATTGTAATACAAAGACCCCCCCATATGCTGTCAGTATTTTGTCAGAAATATGTCGAAAGCATGTTTTGGTTGCGTTTTCAATAATACGAAA